TGATTTACATTTCAGGCATATCAGTAGGTTTTAAATCACGGTTCGTCATTTAGATAATGTGTCTATGCTAAATTTTACATATCACTGTGTTTAATTTAGCGCATTTTCCCAGTCAGCGAAATAAGCTAAATTAAAACCCAGTGAATAATTACCCCCTTTACAGTAGTGAAAATAAATTCCAAGCGAAAATAAAGTATTCTACAGTAACAAATGGATAGATGGATACAAACTAATGATGCACAATCTTTTTTTTGCATAACAAAACAAAATAACAATTAATATATCTAAACATTTAAAAAAAATTAATTAATTTTTATGTTCCTTTATTAATACTATGTTCTTGTATTCTATATTAATCTCAATGCCCCTTGTAGAATAATATAATATCAATTGTATAAGGTTCCAAAATAATAGTGCACTAATATACATAAACAACAAAAATACTAGCCAGATTTGGCAGAAAAGTACAATATTCATAAAAATTATATATAAAAAACATATAACATATAAGTTCACAGCACTTATCTTGGAGATCAGAGTAAGTTGGAAAACTCACAAATAATGGTCTACAAATGAGGTAAAAAAAGCAACACTACGGTAACCTGTTTGCAATTTTAATATTGATTTCCAGCATGAAAAGAGAAAACTACTGAAAAAGATTCATGTTTTCTGACAATCATCAAACCAGAAAGTTTACAGCCTCCTTACCTTCTCAGGGTTTCGTATGTACCCCAACAAATTGCCATTTTTCATATACGGAAGGATAACCAATGGACATTCTTTCTGATGAAGACACACACCGATTAAACGCAAAACGTTTTTATGTTTGAAGTCTTTCATGAAGACACCCTCTCTCAGAAAAGGTATACTGTCCTTGATACTACTTCCCTCATGTAGTGTTTTTATAGCCACTTCCATTTCCACACCGTCGTCAGTTTTCAACACGCCACGATAGACTAAACCGAAATGACCTAGAGAGCAATAATGATCAAAAAAATGTGCCTCTGGTTAAAATAAAAAAAAAAATAAAAAAATAAAAGAAGGAAAAGGAAAAGTTTGTAAGTATGAAAGATATGAATAGAATAGTTAAAACATGTAAAGACAAATTATTATAATGCAACAAATAGAAACAGATTTCCAGAATACCCTGAGCTCAGTTTAGATTGGTTTAAATCTTTTTAATTAGTTATTCAATAAATATAAATTTGATGCACAACATGATATTACCATGAAAACAAGTGAATGAAATGAAATGCCATCTTCAGACAAAATAAAATAAAATAAATGATCTTGAAAAACATCTTACTATAGTAACATATATTAATAAAATGTAAATCACATTTTACAAACAAAATATGTCTAAAGACAAAAGAAATGGGATCTTTATTTGTGCCTCAAATACAATTTTTCTTTTTTTTTCTTGAAGAATCAACAAAGTGGTTCAACTTGATTTTTGGGGATTCTGTTTTGTTTCTGAATACTACAAAATCAGTTCAGTTAGAAGGCACACTGCTAGTAGGATACTACGACTCAATACAAACACTCAAAACCAAACAAGAGGGATTATTTTCTGCGCATGGTTTTCTCACACATGCAGCTAACGCGGCACTACAATTTCTTTATTTTATCAAGTTATTTCCTAATGAACTGGTGGCTCTTCGAAACTTAGAAGAGAAAACTTCTGGTAACTGAACTACTTTTAGAAATCTTTGTTTAAATTCAACATGGTCACCAGACTATGGCTTAACACTACAAAGACAATCACAAAGTCATTATTTCCATGGAAACGAGATTGGGTACATCATATTTTATTTCATTCATTTTTTTTTCTAGGGCCTTTGAATGGACTGAACATTCGGATTTACATTCGCACTTCCACCAAAATAGTGAAACTTCACATACACCCTTGAGATTAATTTAGTACAGTGGATTAGTGATATGTGAAAAAGGCAATTATGGCAGGTTTGACCCTTATCTCACCTCGTCCAATCAATTCGCACAATTCCAGATTTCGCCTTTCTATCAATACGTCGCTGATATTCAAAGCTAAATCTTTATCTATTTGAGATAACAATGAAGCATGTTCTTCGGCACTTCCACAAGCACCATTGTCAGAAAGATAAGCTGAAAAAATAAATCAGCCTACAGTAAAATAATTTATTTTAGCTGGAATTAATTTTCGCTGAAAAGACGGTTTTGGTGGTTGTGTATGGAATTTATTTTCACTGATTTTTAACAAGTTGAATGTAAAGTATAGGATAAAAGGTATATTCACTAGCTTTTATTTTCAATGAATCAGCCCTTCAGAAAAAATAACCCAAATAAATTGCAAGCGAAAATAAAGCATTTTACAATTTTGATCCATATACAACTATAATTGTAATACCACAGAAACATTCTACACATCTGTTTAGAAATCCGACCATGGGAGATTAATAAGGTTTATGCATAAAACATTGTATTATGGTAAGTGTATTAAAACCACTATTATATATACATCTTTGGTTAGGTTTATTTGATCTACTATTTTCAAAATTCATCTTCACTGTAGTTATAATATAAATCTACTAACTTTAATACTATGTACAATGAACCATATTAATCTGAGTTTAAAAACAATATCACCTACTATTTCTGGCCACTCTACTGCTACGGTAAGGCGAACCACTATGAGCTCGGTATATCACTCTGAAATCATTTTCAATATCCTCTTTCACATACAAATCCTTTTGTTTCTGCCTCTTCATCAGTCGATATCGCCAGTATAATATACCAAGGACGATGATAAGTAAAAGGCCCATCATAACCGACACAATGAGTTTCCAGCTGCTACTTTTCTCAACCTTATCCACGTACTGCAAATATCCAATGAAGAACTCCAAGTTTCCGACAAACACCTGAAGAAAAAGAACATTTAGTTTTTTTTTTCAATCTGTATTTGTTTAAACTCAACGGTTCAACTAAGTGTAGCAAAGCATGATGGGAGGCAAGGAGTGGAACAGATTTTTACATGGAAACAAGTTTGGTTATGTATTTTTACTTTGCTAATTTTCAAAATGGAAAAAGGAATGTTTAATTATCAAAAAGTTAATTATCCTTAATCCTATTAAAATTAAAATCCATAAACTTGTTGGTGCAACAAAATTTTTAAGAATTTTTCGAAAATTTCTCATTTGCCCATCATCAAAATTGTTAAAATTATTTTGTGAAAGATGAAAAAAGTTTAGTTTTTAAAAGATTAATTAACCTATAACATAAATTGAGACTAATACATCTTTAAATCAGTATATTATGTTGGCAGATAACTACCTCAACTTTCCGCCTTGGCTCATTCAACTTGGTGTCATTCTGTCGCAGTGGTGGAATACAGATACATGTATCATACAGCAAGTGGGTCACGTTGCAGTTATCGTTACCAACGACAACCGTCACATCAGAAACTGTGCTTGATAAATTCAAATGAATTCCCTGAAATAGCAAAAATTAAAAAATGAATTACGGCTAAAATAAAAAGAAAAGACACACAGAATTTTGTATTAAGGCAAGATGCATATTCTAATACAAAACAACACAATTGGAAAAGAATTTGACACCACAATTTTATATAATCAATTATTTAAAATTAGGTGAAAATTTTATGCAGGTTTTAGAAAGATGTAACAAACCCCAGAAGAACCATGATGTGTGACCCAAGTTTTAACAAACCCCCAGAAGAATCAGTATGTGTGACCTAAGATCTTAACAACCCCCAGAAGAACCAGTATGTGTGACCCAAGTTTTAACAAACCCCCAGAAGAACCAGGATGTGTGATCCAAGTTTTAACATCCCGCAGAAAAATCAGGATGTGTGACCCATGATTTAACAAACCCCAGAAGAACCAGGATGTGTGACCCATGATTTAACAAACCCCCAGAAGAACCAAGATGTGTGACCCATGATTTGACAAACCCTCAGAAGAACCAGGATGTGTGACCCAAGATCTATACTCACATCAATATACAGTGGAATCTTATCGTCAGTCAACTGCCTGATATAGCTTGGTTCTGGGAACTTAAAATATACTGGGTCGGGATAATAAGAGAAAGTTCCCCAGCTTGGACTCCCATCAGCCAATGGTGCCACCACACCATCTAGATGAAATGCTATCACGGCTTCAACTGGTTCATCCTTTGATGCAGTTAAACCAGTAACTCCAATGTTTGGTGTTTTACATGACATTGACAAACCATCCTTTGCTGCTTCACATACCTTTCAAAAAAAAGAGGTAGAATTAAGTGCTCAAAATTGCATTGTTTACATAAAATGTGACCTTTTTTTTTTTAATATAGTTCATATCATGCATATTGGATGCGTGTTTTTTTTTTTCAAAATTCAAAACAAAAAATGGCTGACTGGTGGCTATTTTGTTTTTATTCATGTTCATGTTGATTTCTCACTATTGTAAAATACAAATTTTTGCTGAAAAGACATTTTGCATGTTTTGTATGGAGATTATCTTCACTGTTTTTTGATGAGTTGAATGTAAAATTTAGGAAAAAAGTATTTTCACTGAATCATTCCATCAGGGTTAAAGTGAAAATAAATTCCAAGAGAAAATAAAGTATTTTATCCATCCAAGGTTTTTGAAATTCAAGACTGACTACAAATTTTTCAAAATTCACAACGATACATTTTCTGAAGTTTCTTGACTTTCTTTAATTTGTCTCTCCTAAAATTGAACCATTCTATTCTATTCTATTTTATTCTATTCTATTCTATTCTACAAAAGAACAATCAATCAAATTACATGTCACAGTAAAGATACCGGTACATGCACTCAACTATAAAAAAGAAAGTCATAATGTCAAACTAGTTGGCAATTCTGAATGCATAGACATTCGAAAAAAAAAATTAACAGCCGAAAGGAATTTGAAAATATCCACTTTGCCATCACACCATATCTGTCATCTATGAACGAGACCTAGCCTTTTAAAAGTGATTGATGGCATTTCGGATTGGTACATAAATTTTAAAATATACCCCAAGGTTATTAAATATTGATAATATATTAAAATATGTCAAGATTTCTTCATCCATTTCATTTTTGTTTATCATTTATCATAGTCGGTTTCTTTGATGTGATTTGAAACTAGAATTTAGATGAAATTTGTCAAAAGTCAACAATTTTAATACATGCATATCTGCGGCATAAACTCCCTTTCAAAGTAACTTCATACTTTCCCTGAATTTGCGAATTTTGTGAAAAAATTGCACTTGCGAAAAAAAAAAATAAGTAAGAATTGTTATAATAATTGTTTGTGTGAGTCTATACATAGACTGGTCCATGATGAATGCTACTTTAAAAATATTGTGAGAGGGGATGAAAGACTACTCATACAATTATATATAATACCAACCTCTCTCAGTGTATCAGGTCCACTACTTGTCATGACAGTAGCTTCAAGTATACTCTCTGTTACAATATGTAAATTATGACCTTTGACTACCAGCATCACCCCACCACTGAAATAAAACATAATTATAAATTGTAAAAAATGTGTAGACTGAATTGAAAATCATTAAATTCCATACTTGCTAGATTAGTAGTAGCATGTGTACTTAGAAATTGCCAAAAGTGTGGCTAGAATCATCATATAACTATTTTTAATGATCCAGTATATAAATAATGGCAATGTTTAGATTATTGTGCATTTATATCAGAGATATGCTTCTAATAGGACAAATATGGTATATTTGTGGTAGGAGGCAATTCCCAATAGAGTCAAACAATAATGTAAACAGGCCTGAACACTACGAATAGTGAAAAGACAGGAACTTTAGTTTTCTATCATTTTCTTGGGTTACTCAACATTTTTAGCCATCATATATAAACTTTAATTTTATACAATTTCAGTCTAATAACAGGGTAATATTTCCTAACAATAATAATACTAGAATTGGGTATCTCAGACAACAATGAAATCAATACATGATACGGTATAACATTCTCAACCTGACTATTTGAAGAGCAATCTTCCAGTCACTAATACACTGTTAAAATCAAAATAAGTTCCACTAGTAAACTTTAGTTATCTTGAAATATTAATAAATCATCATTTTAGGTATTAAAAATTAAAGCAAAATGAGACACTTTTATTACCAAATTTTTTTTTTATTTTACCAAGTATTTTTTGATACATATGAGTCTTGAATAACCTATTATCTGAATTTTCATGACGGCAACTTCTAGAAAATCGCGTGCAACAACACATATAAGCTCTTTGAGTATTTTTCAAAAAGAAGATATCCTCAGGCAGTAAAGCAATCAGCTATAGTCCATCTCTTCATAGACTTGCATATATAAAACACCAGTCTATATAATCAAACCACTGTACACAATTCCACGTATCGCTTTCTGGGTAACACACATGCTCACCTGAGGAAGCCTTTTTTTGGGTTGATATCGTAAATCTGAGGATCAGTCGTATAATTGTAGTTCTCATCACTAGTTCTAACAGCATTGTCAATGGTGATTACAAGTGGTCCATATGACATCTCAGCTGTTGCCGATGTTGTACAGTGAACTTGACCAAACATAGCCCTGTGGAGAGAGGTTATATGTGAATATATCAATAACACACTTTTTCTCTCTTGAGATTGACAAAAACAATACAGAATTCCATATCAAATTTCTAAATCCTAAAAAGTGTCCAGAAATGGAGATCTAAGCATTTTTAATTGAATAAATGACATACAGGTTGAAAGTGCACATGATACATCAGTAATGCTGCAGACTCGTTCAAAGTTTCGTGCATGACGCGCATCATCATTAGGTCATATTGACCCAAATTTGTATGAAGCGACCGACACTTCAAGGAGTTTGCAATACCATATTTCAAAAGAGTAAGCTGCAAATCCTTGATGTTACATCAAATGGATATTTGGAGGATAATCTTAAGTTAACCAACTGTGAACAAGGAAGTCAAAATTAATTATGCATATGCAGTATTAAGACAAAATAACTTTAAAAGACTTCATTCTACTTACTTGGTAATCTGACATGGTTCGCCGGCAACCATAACCGCTCTATCAGTTCCAACATCCAGATATTTCCCAGTCAACAACAACTTTGGTTCCGCCTGACTGAGCACCAAATTTGGGGGTAAAATTGTTTATAACAGGATCCTAGAAAAAAAAAGTTTGGGATAAAGTGACAACCAAATACTGTTAAAAAAACAGAAACTCTGGCCTCATGGAATTGGTCAATTATAAGAGCATTTGAGAGGATGATAGCCTTGATTTAATTAAAGTCATGTGACTTCTTCCATAAGGACCTCACATTCATTGTATAATTTGTTTTGCTAATTTTCGGTAAAATGATCATAATTCTTCCATTGCTAAAAAGTCTTGAAAAAGATTGTTGTTGTTGGTAATGAATGAAGGTTGTTTCAATACATGCAGACAATTCAAGTAAACTACTAACAGCTAGAATTCTAGTACCAACAAAACATCACAGTATTTTTTTGTGCCTCACAGAATTATTTTTTAATATAGAAATGCAATGAAATCACTTTAAAAATCTTACCACGTATGAAAAAGAGTTTTCATAATTTGACACGGTGGTACCATCTACGATATAACCCAGTGATGCATCGTCACTAGCATGGTGGATGGTAACCGAGACGGGACCACGTCCATGCGGATTAGGTTTAGTTCTACATACTAATCTAAAATGAAAACAACACACTCTGCATTAACTTTTTTGTTATATTCTTAAATTTTTCTTTAAATGAACCCTAATTTGAGTTTTTACTCAAAAAATTTGGCTATTTTAGTCCCAATCTTCAGAAGGAAAGTGCAGAAATGGGATTATTTTTGAAATAGTGATGAAAAGAGGGAACTAGTGGTAAAAAGGTTAAACTGAGATTGCGACAGATGCAGTCTGTACACAGCTGTCCTATACAAAATAACATGGTTTGTAGTGAGACACTCTACAAAACTGATTAATATGTACACAATCAATCTAGTCTGTATCAGCCATACTACTTATTAGCTAGATTCTGAAAAGTAGAAGCTTAAAGGCCAAGCAGTGCTATATTATGTACTTTGTCTTGCTAATAACAGAACACTTTCAGTACAAGTCAATTTAGGATTCCTTGGCTGATTTTCTATGAGGTTATGTTCCATGAAAGAATTCACACATTCTGTCTACGTGAAAGTGCACTTCCGTTTGCTCAGATATTTAGTGATAAATCGGATTAAAACCTAAGGCACATGTAATTTTCTTTTGCTATCTGATCAAAGATGGCCGACAGGCAGCAATGTTATTTTTACTTCTGATCTAGGACTTTTATCGATCTAAACTAGGCACTGTATAAACACATTACAAATTATATATATGCATTCAAGTTCCTCCAATATCTACTGTAAATGGGTTAATTATTCACCGGTTTTTAATTTTGCTTATTTCGCTGACTGGAAAATGCGCTAAATTAAAAACCCAGTGAATATGTAAAATTTAGCGTAGAACACATTTTCTAATTGATAAAACTGTGAATTTAAAACCCACTGAATATGCCTAAAATGGTAAATCAGTGAAATTTAAAACCAGTGAAAATTAGTCATTTTACAGTATTATATTAACAGGTTTGTTTTACAATCGTCTACTGGATGGGTAGCACAATGGTTACACATGTTTTGCCAGCATCAGGAAGAGTACCAGCTCAAGATTTGCTGCTTAATTAACAGTCACAAAAAAAAAAAAAAATTCTACCCTCTAGCAAGAGTCACAGCATTAAGTCATCCAGTCAAATGGGAATGTAAAGCTGTTAGAACCAGTGTGCTGTTTCTCAATGTACATAAAAAAAAATCACAATATTGTTATGAGTACCAAGTAGTACTTATTATTGTAAAACTTGAAGGTGGAGTGTCCACGATTTCCTCTTTTCATCACAAATTCACAAAATGTTTATAATTTGCACTTTCCTTCAGAAGTTTGGGGCCAATTTTTTTTTTGGAATAAAAAACTAAAAATTGACTCTAATTTTGTCTGTTGGCTAATCTCCAGAAATATTGAAGAATTATAAGAAAAAAGTGGAGAAAAATTTTGGCCAAAGTGCATATTTCAAATTTTGTTTTTGTAGCAGTGAAAAATTCACTGTGATGAAGCATAAAGTAACAATGACTTTCGCAAAACATTTTCTTCACAAATACCGTGAAATCATTTAACTGTGAATATTCCTGGCAGTGATAATTGAGTGGTTTATAGTAAGTATAGACTTGACATATACATTCACCAGCATCAAAACCCACACAGTAATTAAATAATTAGTTGAATGAAACAAAGGCAGGCATGCGAGCTGACATACACAAATTACCCTGTCTTTAACTTTACCCCTAATTACGAGAGAAAACAGAGCTAATGACCCTTTAATAAGAAACGATTGCAAATTCCTAAAAGGCT